GTGAAAGATCGAGGTTGATCACTAGTACAAAAAAAAAAAAAAAAAAAAAAAAGATTTAGTTAAGATCTACCAGCCAGGAATCAAATAGTTAACAATATGAAAATCTTAAAGGTTGCCTTAAGGTAATCCTGAAGAATATTTTTTAAAGTCTGCATGCTTTATCCAACTGCTTCTTCAGAATTGCTAATTTACTCTACATGCAATTTGGGAGACTGACAATGATCTCATCACATTTTTTCCTGTACATTATGAACATATACTTAAGCAAATAGTTCTAACTAAAGTAGTTACAGTGCTTCTTAAGATACCAATGACATTATGGAGGAAATGAATTATCACTGTCAAGATATCCTCAAGGAGAGGGGAGGAGAACATGCCCCAGAAGAGATAGGTTTCCAAAAGCTATAAAAAGTTTTTTAAATTCTGAAGCATAAACTCTTCAAAAGGCATTAAAACATTCACTTAGAAAGTAACAATATTTATTTGGTTTTCTGGGCTTTGTTTCTTTTACTAGATAAAAGGAAAATGAATAAAAATATACTTTTCCTGAGGCATATACCATGCCATTTTGAGATTGTTTTTGACATTAAATTCTTTAACAAATTCTAACTTAGCTGTTGCACTGATGTTAAAACATAATACAAATATTTAGTGGTAATCGAAAAAGATATAGAATCTTTCTAATTAAAATTACATAGGACTGGGGGGTATAGCTCAGTGGCAGAGTGCTTGCCTAACATTTGTAGCACCCTGAGATTGATCCCTAGCACTGCTACAAAAAAATAAATCAAATTTCAGGTAAATATCGACCCATCAATAAACATTTTTAAAGAACTAAGACATACTTGTTTAATTTTTAAAAGCACGTATTTTATTTTACCAATGCAATGTATGCAGTCAGAAAAGCAATAGAGTTCAAGTATTGTAACCTAATGCAAACACTACAAAATCGAGGATTATAATTTTTTGTTTTTGCAGTGCTAGGGATTGAACCTAGGGCCTTGCACATAGCAGGCAAGTATCTACTACTAAGCTACATTCCCAGCTCTTGAGGGTTATAATTTTAAAAACAGTTGAATTGAAAGACATTTCATCTATATTTATTTCCAAATTGTATAAAAGTCTACAGAAAGGTTTAACTTAAAGTCCATCTTCATTTTAGATATATAAAACGACATATAACAAGTATATCATGGGCTCCCCGATTTATTAGTAAGCTGTAATTTTTATGAAAATCAAAAAATGAGAATTTTTATAAATAAAAACTTTTCAGAAAATTCAATTTCAGAAAGTAAGGAAAATGACAATGGGGATTAGCAATGCTATCATTTATACAAAGCATAAACAATGACTCAGAATTTTGGTCTGACTGTAAGATGTGTTCTTCAAATCCAGACACACAAATTTTTTGTTTTGTTGATAAATAAAGTAAAAATGTACACACACTTCAGGAAAAGAAAAATAGTACAATGTTTTTTCAACAGATGGTTATTAACCTCGTGTGAGGGACCCTATAGGATATTGTACATCACAGAAAATTCACGACACTACTGGCTCTTTTTTTTTTCCCAGTACAGGGGATCAAACTCAGCATGCTGTGCTTTTGAGGCAGGAGTATGCTGGCTCTTAGAGAAGAAATTAGAAATGCATGTGCAGCAATCTCAATGACCAAGGATACCCAAGTACCAATTTGCTGTACTAATAAATGTTTGGAAGCTAATGGCTACTACTTTGAGCAACTCTTGTAATTGTAGAGGCCGAAGGTAACTTGTACTAATTTCATTAAATTTAGTATTAAAAAATATTTATACAAAGTTTTCTTTTCCTGAAGTATATATAAATTTTTTTGGTGGACTCATGTACACACACACACACACACACACACACACACACACACACACACATTATGAAACATATACGTATGTTTGCTCTTTGCATGTTTGGATGTTCTAGGATACAGGTGGACATGGAACTGCTGGGCAGGACAAAAGCAACTGCAAAAGCAACTGAAAATTTTAATACATGCCAAACTGCTCTCTAAAATGGGAGGGTATGAGAGAACAACTTTCTTCTGTTATAGTCAACCAGAGTTAAAAATAACCAGATTTTAAAAAGTTTTCCAAAGACATGAAGCTTTAATTTCCTTTATCATGATGGCTATCGAGTTTGAACATAACTTTTCCCATATTTATTGACCATTTTTAGTCTGTTATGAGAGTTGCTGCTCATATTCCCTGCCTGTTTTTCATATTGATTTATAAGGATTCCTTAGTTTTGGTTATTAATCTTTAGTCTGCTTGTCACTTTTATCTTTTATTTTTTGCTCATGGTGTATTCTAACATCAGGAATATTCATTTTTAAGAACTAGTATGATCCTATGAAAGTATCAGATTTGTAATAGTTATTTCATCAGCTCCAAGAAAACCAAGTAGCATTATCCTTCCTCAGAAAAGACATCATGGTCCATAATATGGAGAATATGGGAATACAGAAGACTTAATAACACATTTAGCCCCCACTGCCCTAACAGGTTACAGAAATAATTGTCTATGGACAATGACACTGCTAAGAGTCACACAACATCTCATGTCTCTGTCCACCTGACTTACCTACAGATTTGTCTGCCATGCCCACATCTCTAGATGTCCAGCGACAAAATCCACAGGCCAAGTAGTAGGCTTTCTTCATGGTGGTTTTGGCTGGGTCATCTGGAAGCTGTGTGGAGATGCTTGTTGCCCGAGTGGAGAGGGTATGCATGCAGCCAGGACAGTCAAAGCAATTGGCACATCTGTGATATTACAAACACAAACATTGACTCGTTCAATGATATTTATCAGGCCAGTACTACTACTGTTCTAGAAGTCAAAAATGAAAAAGAACAGGGCTGAGGATTTAGCTCAGTGGTGCCACCACCTGCCTTGCAAGTGCAAGGTGGTCCTGAGTTCAATCACTGGTACCAAAAAAGAGAGAGAGAGAGAGAGAGAGAGAGAGAGAATCTATTATATGTTCATTATTTTCTAAAAGTATGCAATTATTTCTATAGTTCACAAAGAATTAGAGCGTGACCCAATCCTACTTCGAAGAAGGAATTACTGTTAACAGGTGGAGTTTACTATTCTAGACACTTTTTATGCTTTATAGAAGTCAAAGTTTTCTCTAGGAAAGATAAACGTCACAGCTCATGTCTTTAGAGGACAAATCAAGTGTACAATGAATCAACAAAGAAGCTGTGAAACTAGATTTGGAAAAAAACTGCTTACCTGCTGTGCCAGAAAGCTGAAACATATACCAGACAATGCTATCAGACTGGAATAGTTCAGGCAGCACATTTGCATGGCTTTCAGGCGTCTTCTTAGGCACTACTCTTCCTATTGCTCAGTCAACATTTTTCTTTTAGAGTCCTCATGCCCTCTTGCTTTTAACTCTTCTACCACCTAAGGTTATTAAGATCTCATCTCCTGTCTTGTACTACTTCCATTATCTGTGGTATTTTGGTATCTGAATATTTACTTCAAGGAAGGATAATAGTACCCACCTCACAGACATACTTTAAGGATTAAATGTTAAAATTAACACGTGGAAAGGCTAATTCTTGAGGCAGGAAAGAAAATAGTGGTTCACATCCAAGAAGCACAGGAATGTGAATGGTAGCAAAAGGACTCTCACACAAAGGTGAAGACTAAATGGAATGCAGGAGTAAGGAGCAGAATCAAATACCATTTTGCAATCAAAGGAACCAAGGCTCTTTCAAGAAGTGGTTAATTCTGGGGCAGAAAAATACACAAGATGAGCTTGGAGTTCTAGTAGGAAGGCACTCAAACTACTGAACAGAACACTCTCCCTTCCCGCAATGAGGGTATGCAAAAGGGCTAAGGAGTAAACCAAAAGAACTGTCAATGGCCACATTTGGAACATGTTCAGGGGGAAAAAAATCTCTCTGTATGGAATTACAACTCAAAGCATAAATATTCATGAGTCCATAGTCTTTTAAGTAAATGATTAAATAAAAATAAAGAAGAAACAAGATCTTCCATGCAAGGAAAGCCTCAATAGTTATGTAGACGGACTTTAAGAGAGGGAAGCCCAATTTCCCACCCTTTGCGTGTGGGCTGTGATGGTGGTTTTCCTTCTAGAGTACAGTACAGCAGAGGTGGGGAAGTAGCACTGGAGTAGAGAAACAAGACAAATGCGAGCTCATGACAGGTAGTCAAGGTTGACACCAATCATACCCACAGTATTTATCCTTGATGCAGTGTGCTGAGAGATGGCACATTACTTTGTAGTCCTTCTCCCAGTGCACATATCCAAATCACAAGGAAAATACCACACAAACCCGATTGGTCAAAACTTTCAAGACTGTGAAAATCAATGATATTCTAATAAACTATCATAGCCAAGCAAAGCCTAAGGAGAGAAACGACAGGGGAGACTAGATGTGGGAATTCTCAGCACTACGTTCAAAAATAATTCTTAAATATGAAACTCTTCTAAAATACATTTATTTTAAAATCAAAGAACATTCATCATAGGCCATGGTGATACTAAAGAATGGAAAAAAGCTGTTTTAAACAAGAAAATTAATTCATGTTTCTTTACTAGATACTTAAAAAGTAACTGAGGAAAACAGACAATTGATCCTGTTCTTACCTATTCTTTTTTAGTTTGGCTTCAGCAGATGGCATATTTTCTAAGCAACTAGGACAATAATGGGAGTCCACCTAGGAGGAAATAAGCAATGAAAAAAATCAGAGAAAGGAAAACTGAATCTACCTCATATAAATATCAAATAATGAACTTTAAAATATACCTCAGCAGGTAAAAAATCACTGATTTGAAGAAAAAACCTGGACTGCTCAGGCTTAGGGTTTATTCTTTAGTGTTTTCTCTCTCCCTCACTCTTTCTCTCTTCTTTTTTCTCTGGTTTTTTGAGACAGGGTCTTGCCATGTAGTTCAGGCTGGTCTTCAATTCATTATGTAGCCCAGGCTGGCCTCGGACTCAGAGTGATCCTCCCGCATCTCAAGCATGCACTACCATGCCTAGCTTCTTTTTTTAACCTTTCTTTTTCTCTTTCTTCCTTTCAACTCTGAGTTTTCTAAAAACCATTCTATTTTTTTCCTTTCTGATATTTTCTATTCCCATTTTGTGTTAGATGTGAAAAAAGTTGTCTATAATGATAATTAAAAGTTTCCAAATGCTATGATGACCTAATAAACACATTAGTTTAATCTAACTGTAATTCTGTAATTAAATATCCTCTCTAGTTCGCTTTATTTCACTGTCAAACTAGGCCACATATTTAATTGTTAAGGGAGATTTTTAAAAGTAAGCCTTCTCACTATTTAAGTAACATTTACAAGCAAAAATTAGTATTTACAAAGTCAACTATGACCAACCAATTAGAGATTTTTAAATGACATATTAAGCTACAGAACAGTCTTACTGTATTTAGGACAGAGTTTAAGAATTAAATGTATTGCATTTTTAAAGGTCTGTATAATTATTTTCTTTAGGCAGATCCCTTTTAACAATTATGGAACACTAGCCAATGGAAAGATTCACTTGAACATAAACACTATGACAGAAAATGTATTTTCTTCATCATCATCTACTGTAAAAAGGACCAATTAGTAAACATCAATAAAAGTTGTACTTAATATAAAACACAATACTGCTAACTAAATTCGCACCGACACATGATAAAAGGCAAAATACAATTCATTCCTTCTTGATCCCTTTCCAAATTCTGTTTGTCCCTTCAGGTGCAGTGTCCTACCCAGATTCTCCACTAGAACTTTGTGGACTGCCTCACCCTTCCCAAACTCTAATGGATCCTGCATCACAGATATGCACCAGGCTATAAACGATGCTGACTGGATGCCTGAGCTCAGTGATGGTGAACCTTTTAGAGCTTCCAATAATAACAAACAGCCCACTTTGGTATGTGGGCCATAGGTTTGCCACCACTGCCTAGCTGAAGGGATCCTTAGAGATCATGAAGAATGAGTTTCCTAATGCCCACTACAGGAAATCTGGTCCAGCGAGTTCTGGGGGTGGAGCTGTAATATACACAAGCTGGTAATAGAGAATACCAGAAAAATCATATACACAACATACAAAAATATATAAGTATACGGTATATGGCACTGAATTTCTTGTATTTAGTTGCTTTCCTTGACTAGTCTTAATATTATGAAGATTTTCTTCAATAAAATAATTATTAATGTGTGAAATGGTCTACACCATGGAACTTTTCACACACATTTTAACAGACCAGGGATCTTGAGTACAATTCTCTGAGTCCTAATCTTACCTCCCACTCTTAAATTAGGGTCTACAACAAACATGATATCTGTTTCTTCTAATTTTTTTTAAAAAAAGCATCCACCTTCACTGGCACATGTTAAGCACTGAATAAGACAGCTAACAGCTTTTTCTTCACCTAAGTTAGTCAATAGCAAGGTTTATGTCTTCCTCATGTTTTAATCCCTAAAGCTTACTGCGTCAAGTGCTGTGCAAATTTAGGAATCGTTACTTTTCTGTCTGTGATACTACTCCCACTCCCCTTGTATCTGCGAAGAATGGCACCCTCAGAAGCATCGTAAAAGTAACTCTTTGGGGCTCTAAAACAAGACTGTATTTTAAATATTTTTCACTCTATTCACCCCACCCGTATCTCTTGCCTGCTGCAGGTCTTGGCCTGAGAGGAAATAAAGCAAGCAGCTTGAAGATGGGCCGGTTTCCAGCCAAACGGACAGAACTTTCCAAGGTGGGAGGGACATGAATACGAACGCCTGCTCCTCTCCTAACAATCCTGGAATGACGGGTTATCTCGCCCAAGTGGTCTTAACTAAGCATCCTCAGATCTTTCTCCCCAGCCCACCAAGAGAGTCAGGGACTAAGTCAAATTTGTCCAACCAGAGCCACTCTAGAAACAAGAAGACCCGATCAGCCCCACCCGCACTTCCTTTCCAAATGACAGGCTACAACCGAATTAAATCGCCAGCAAAGCCAAGTGATGGGAAGATTAGCCAATCAGCAAGCTAAGAAAAATAATTGCCCGTCCCAAACCAGGGAACCCCCCCCCCCGCAATGACTGACGAACCGCCCCCCAACAGTCTTCACCAGACGACTCCATTACCTCGTGAGACACACATTCCAGCGACCGCAGCTCGCTACAATAGCGGCAGAAGTAGAGCTGAGAGAGCGGGGCCCGGACCTTCTTTTCTCCCTGTACTAGATAGAGAACCCGCTCCGACTGCAGCAAGGACGCCATCTTTGGGAGGGAGGAGCCAACACCGGCCCGCTGCTCACGTGACCCAGAGCCGGCGTTTTCTCCACCGCCCTCCTTACGTATTTTTACGCAGAATACGTCGTCTGGTATCCGACCCAGTAAGGTTTTGCGTTGGTTGAAAGTCAAAGCGCGCGTGCGCAGCCAGAGTTTTTTTTTTTTTTTTTTTTTTTTAGCTTGGGTGGGTTTTTAGCGTTTCGGTGAGCTTCCTCTGCGTGGCCCGACCTTTAATTCCAGACTCTCAGGTCAATCCAGACAGATTCATTGCTGTGCATTTTTCGTCCAGAATTGAAGACTACTCTTGTTATGGCCTCCCCCTGCCTCCACCTTCCAGGCAGATGTTCAAGGCAGCTGGAATATCACAAAGGGATAGCTTCCATGGGAACTGGCAAGAGGAGTTACACTAACTAGCTCTTTCTTCTGACAGTCTTGCCAGTGACGCTTGAGAAACTTCGTTTGCATTATGTCCTTTGAAACTCCTTAGTAAGCTCCTGCTTCTTTTCCAGGTTTCGAGTAGTTAGCATTAGGTCTATGTTATGGGCATTTAATAAGTAACGATGAGTGAAAAAAGGAAATCAACATGAGCAGTGTTGGCAGGCATTGTCTACATTCTTTTAATGTGAAAACTAAGGCTTAGATATGTAAGACGACCACCTAAAATGCGTCTCAGAGTCTGGAACCTATGTTGTCAGCCACTGTGTCCGTGTTCTCACTGTACTCAGGTTATGTTATTTACTATCCGTCTGACATTAGAGTTTGTCAGCAGATTGGGCCTGAAAACTATGAATAAAATACTGAGAACGAGTTAAGTGCAAGATACTGTGTCAAGACTTTACATAATTTCATTTAATTCTCACAAAACATTAAAGGGCAGGTTATAGCACCAATTCTATTTTACTGGGCAGGAAACAAGTTCAGGGAAATGCATAACTTGTATAAAAGTTTATGAAGAGAGTTAGAACACTGTCTCTGACTCGAGGTCATGTGCTCTGGGTATAATGCCTCCAGTTTGTTTTCTAATATTAGAATGTTAATGATACCTAACATTTATATAATGCCTTTTAGGTTTTGCGTGCTTACACACACACACACACACACACACACACACACACACACACATCTTCTTTGT